GTGAAGCGGGTGCCGCTGAAGAGAGCGCAGAGCCGATCCACCACAGATTGGTCGTCGCCATTGCGCTCCAACGTCCTGATTACGCTGGTGAAAGCCGAGAACGCATCGGCCCCCTCCTCGTTCTTCGAGCAGTGTGACACCTTCCGCGCGATCACCGCCCCACGGAGCGCTCGCTCAGCGCGGTTGTTGGTCGGCTCAATGCTCGGATCGTCCAGAAAGCGCAGCAGGCTGCCCCGGTCGTCGTGCCAACCCAGTTCGTTCTGCAGCCGGTAGTTGTCCGCATCCGCCATCGGACGGTCGCGGAGATGATAGCTCACCTGGCGCTTCAACCGCTCGGCCTGCACACCAAAGTCGACAGCCTCACCTCGGTGATATGCCTCCCGCAACTCCATCGCCTCTCGCAGAAGGCCGCTCAGACGCTTGCCGAAGCTGCGGCCTCTCCCCGTCTTGGTCTTGACCACCTCGCTGATCGAGCGCAGCACGTGCGCCAGGCACTTCTGCTGTCTCACCTCGACAGCGCCTGAGCATCGTAGCTGCGACCCCGGTCGGTCACCATCACCCCTGCGTAGTCCGCAGGAACCACCTCGCGCACCTCTTCGTTCCGGTGACGAGCGCGAACCTGATACACCGTCGCCTCTTCCGTCTCGAACGCCATCAGAAACGCCGGCTCGCCTCCAACTCGCCAGCCCGTGTCGTCGGTGTGGACAACCGGACTCGCTCGCACCGATGTCCGCAGCGTGCGGTAGGCCTCACCCACCGCATCGGCACTACGGCGCAGCGCGTCCTGGCTGATCGCCCCCTGGCTCACTTCAACCCCGGTCAGCACTCGGAGAACAGCGGGAATCCTCCGTACCGGAACACCCACCCCATAGTGGAGTACATGGGCCGCAGCCTTCACTCGGTCACCCAAGCGGTGCGCGCTCGCACCATGCTGGTCGGACCCTATATCGGGATGCTGGCCTCGCACAGCCTTGCCGCACGACCGGCACCGGCATACCTGCACTCGGTACGCTCTCACCTGCGGACGCCGAACAGGGGGTATGTCGGTTACGTAGGCAATACTCTCTCCCTCATCCACAAGGCTGCCTCCACATCGGGGCATGTGTCCTCCGACACCGGCACCTCTACAACCGGCCCGGTGACTCTCTTCGGCCGATGGCGGCTTGCGGTAGCTGAACAGGCCCATACCAGGCTTGCGGCCAGGACGCTTGGGCTTGCTGCTGCGCTTGCCCTTCGAGAACGGTGCCGCCTGACGCCTGCCGCTCCGGTGGGACTCCGCGAGTTGCCTCCGCAACTCCTCGTTGGCCGCCATCAACTCGGCGATCTGCTCTTGAAGCCGCGTCACCAGTGCGATAATCTCATCGCGCTCAGACGGAGACATGCCTTTGGACCTGCACATAGCCCAAGTCTAAGCCAGCGCCCAGCATTCACCGCAACCCCTCTACGGGCCACTAACCCGCTAATTCAATTACAAAATGACGAGAAACAGTCGGCTGACTTCATCAATGCCAACACATACCTATTCTCGACACCCAATATGCCGCGTTCTCTCTCTTTAGCCCTGAGACAACAAAAGATGTCGATCTTAAAGTTCATGAGAGGGTACTGTCATCGTTCACATTCTCTTATCGTAGATTTACTACTCGGTAGTGTTGACATTGTGTCATTCTGAAGGCGTATAGACCCCAGAGCGGAGTGAAGAACTAAAATCATCGCGCAAGCAGCAACTTAGTATAGATTCCACGCTTCACTCGCAATGACAGGAAAAGCGGAATAACGTGAGACAAAAAAGCAAAAAATTTCACACTACGTAGTGAACGATCTGTGATATTGCTTAACAATATCTCGCGCGAGCTTGTGAGGAGCGCACTAGCGACTTGTCATATTCTGTACCACCTCCGCCAGTCTGATCCTCATGCACATCAGCAATCTTCGTCAGTCAGTTGATCAGGGTATGTTCCGTTCTCCACGCTCAACGTGATCCTATCCCACATTCTTTCCATATCAACCCTGCGGGCTTGCTCGTATCGACAGTTAGGCGACCGACTGTGGGCTCTAGCCGAATAGCGGAGCAATAGCAGTTATCATGAGTGCTAGACTGTCGTGATCGACAGCTTTAGTATCTTGATAACGTACCTACTACCCTGGCAGGACACCCATGGGTGGTGAGCACAGACTCGACGCCAAGCTCCGTTTCGACCGACTGCCTATTACGGTTAGGAGTTTCAGGCGCTACATAACAACAGGACACTAGCTGATGGAAATGAAGAGAGTTGGACGATGAAAGTGGGAATGAATGAGAACGAGGAGGAGTGTATGCAAGAGATAGTCCCAGGCGAGTCCGTAACGTGCAGCACACGATTGGTGGGCCTTCCTCAGGCAGTCGGTGTACAGTCGTCTGGCGGCTACGAGGATACCAACGACGCTGAAGGTGGCCGACGATCCGACGATGCGTGTAGTCGTTAGAGACGCGAGGCAATCCTAGACAGACCGCGCCCCAGCACCAACACCATGGCCCGGTTCGAGACCGAGGTGCTAACCCAAGACGGAAACGTGGAAGGTTGGGCCGACTGAACTCCAAGGGGTGGACTGAGTATGTCCAGAACGCCGCAACGGGCGTGAATCTTGGACAGGACAGGTTCGGAGAGAGCCCGGTTACAAGTGGGGAGAAACAAGGCACAGGAGGGAGCGTCGAAACGGACACTTTGGGAGCACGTGCTATCACCTTTGTCGTGATTCAATCAGTTCGGTTCGGAATGCGGCTGAGGCGGCGCGAGATGTTGCGTGCGGGGGGGAACGTACATAGACATAGTGCAACAAGTGGAGGCAGGTGTGGAAACGATCCTGTCGCGGTACGACTGAGACGGGATTGCGGCTAATTTCGGCCGACGCCGCTCATCGCCAAGACGGACATCTATGAGGTACCTAGAGCGAGCGCGCGACGTATTCTACGCAATTACGGCTGCCCGAGCAACAAGGTGATTTGTGCTGCACCAATACGAGATCGACACTCACAAGCTCTTGATACGGACATAGTGGGGAGGCCGCGCAGCGTCAGGGATCCTCTATACGACGACAAATTATGGTATCGTGCCGGGAGTGGGACCGCGCTCGCGCTGTCGGTGGGCAAGGTGGAGTGGGTCATAGGGGAGAACTGTTCCCTCGGGTGGGCTTCATCGTCACGAACATGACGGCTGGCCCCGAAGGAGTGGTTGCGATTCTACAATGGTAGAGGGACAGCCGAGCAGTGGATCAAGGAGGCAAGTACGCGCTGAACTGGACTCGGCTGTCGTGCCATCGGTTCGTGGCCAACCGGGTGCGTCTGTCTCTGTTCATTCTGGCGTACAACCTTGGGAACTTCCTTCGCCGGTTATGTCTGCCCAAGGCGGTCAGGCACTGGTCGCTGCGGAGCGTGCAGGTCAAGCTGATCAAGATGGGAGGCCGTCTGGTGCGGCACTCCCGGCGATTGATCTTTCAGTTGTCCGAGGTGTCGGTTCCTCGACGGTTGTTCCAGGGAGTGTTGGATCGTATCGGCCGGTTATCGCCGGCGCCAAGCTGAGGGAGGGTACAACCACGATCTTGCCAAGAGGGGAGAGCGCTCCAGGGAGTCGGCTTGTCTTCAATGCGCTTTCACCCCATTGGCGGGGGCCCGAAGACGACAAAGATGGACAAGAAGCATGGTTCACGGCAAGAATCGCATCCCTTATTGGATAGACCGGAGATGACTGGCCTTGCAGGACCCGAATATCATGCCATCATCTCGTTTGGACTGCCCATTGAGCCTGAAGACTCCCAATATTGGGGAGGAATCCTGGCTAAGACTACGTCCGATGAAGCCCAGAACAGTTCGGCAAAGCCTTTTTTCTTGTGCGACATGCCCCTGGTCTGGTCCTTGTATTCTCGTACGTTCGGCCGACGCCTTGGGTTATTACACTTCTCCATCAATCAATCCTGATGACTATAGTCTACACACTAGGAGTAGCCGTCACTGAGAATAAGGCCTTTCTCGTGACAATATTGGACCGTGAATGAACGTTTTGTGGTTTGATTCAAGGCCATGAGGACTTCAGATGATCGAAACGATACACCAAGGCCTCGGATGGGCAATGTCTGGTATGAGCCGCCAACAAGTAGACAGTGGGGATCAAGGTGTTTTTTGTTTATGTTTTTTTTTATGTGGTGTGTTTGTTTTGATGTGTTTGTGGAGTATTGGCCGTCTGCGAGGCGTGGACCGAACACGGCGCGATCCCTCTCCGACATGGAGAAGCTGCGGTCGGCTACGTACAACTACGAGCGCCTCGAAGAGATACTCGTCGTCCATCGCCACGAGATGACGGCGTTCCTGCAGTCCATCACCGAGGGCATCGGGCCTGAAGGCCGCTGGCTGCACCTCGGCCTGACGCACCCGAGCGACGTGTGGGACACTGCGACCAGTCTTCAAATCCTCGACGCCATCCAATTGCTCGACGAGGAGATCGACGGGCTGATGGACGCCATCAGGAACAAGGGCCGTCGAGCACAAGGACACCCTGATGATCGGCCGGACGCACGGCATTCACGCCGAGCCGGTCACCTTCGGACTCAAAGCTGGCCGTCTGGTACGACGAAATGCGCCGCAACAAGGACCGGCTGTCCCACGCGAGATCGACCATGGCCTACGGCAAGCTCTCCGGCCCAGTCGGGACGCACGGGACGGTGCCTCCATCCATAGAGGCAGCGGTATGCGAGCGCTTGGGCCTGAAGGCAGCGCCTGCATCCACACAGATACTCCAGCGCGACCGTCACGCTGAGTACGTCACGACACTGGCCCTCATCGCGGCGTCGCTGGAAAAGTTCGCCACTGAGATCCGCGGCCTGCAGAGGACGGAGATCCGCGAGGTGTCTGAGCATTTCCCGAAGGGGCAGCCCGGCTCCTCCTCGATGCCGCATAAGCGGAACCCAGAGCTATCTGAGCGAGTGTGCGGGCTGGCCCGTCTGATTCGCGGCCATGCCGTCACAGCCCTGGAGAACGTGCCCTGTGGCACGAGCGCGACATCAGCCACTCTTCCGCCGAACGGCTGATACTGCCGGACGCCTCAATTGCCCTCGACTATGTCCTCAGCCTCATGTCGGGCCTCCTCCGCGACCTGAACGTCGATTCCGACCGCATGATGTATAATATCGAGTCGACTTACGGCGTCCTCTTCTCCCAGCGGGTGCTCCTCGCCCTCATCGAACGGGGCATGGAGCGAGAGACGGCCTATGGCATCGTTCACAACCGCGCGATGGAGAGCTGGGAATCCGGCCAGGATTTCCGGGACATGATGCGGTCCGACCCCGACGTTGGCGGGTCGCTGCCGTCGGAAGACTTGGAAGCCTTATTTGACTACAAATACTACGTCCGGCACGTGGACGAGATTTTCGAGCGTGTCGGGCTGAAATAGGAGAAACGGATGCAAGCACTGATGGAATCTCCCCTACCCGACCTCGTATACCGAGGAAAGGTCAGGGACACCCACGATCTCGGCGACGAGTACCTCATGGTTGCCACCGACAGGATTTCGGCCTTCGACGTCGTGATGCCGAACGGCATACCCGACAAGGGCGCCGTGCTCTCGCAGATTTCGGCCTTCTGGTTCGGCAAAACTGAGCACGTGGTGCCCAACCACTTCATCGACATGGGAAGCGGTCGGCAGGAACTGGCGCTGTCAAACGACATGCAGCGCCGTTCAATGATCGTGAAGAAGGCCGAACGCATCGACGTCGAGTGCATCGTGAGGGGCTACATCACCGGCTCGGCGTGGAGCGAATACCGCAAGACCGGCACCGTTCAGGACAAGCCGATTCAGCAAGGGCTTGTCGAGGGCGACAAGTTCCCGGAGCCGCTCTTCACGCCGACGACCAAGGCGGAGGTCGGCCACGACGAGAACATGAGCTACGACGAGGTAGTCGACATGGTCGGCGCGGACACCGCCGGTCGGCTGCGGGATACGGCGATTGAGGTCTTCAACTTCGCGCACGACTTCGCCATCGAGCACGGGATCATCCTGGCCGATACCAAGATGGAGTTCGGCTTCATCGACGGGGAACTGTCGCTCATCGACGAGCTGCTCACGCCCGATTCCAGCCGATTTTGGGATGTCGAGGGGTACGCGCCCGGCAAGTCGCAGCCCAATTCGACAAGCAGTTCGTCCGCGACTACCTGGACTCGGTCGGCTGGGACCACGAACCTCCCGCCCCTGCCCTGCCGGACGACATCGTCGCCAAGACCCGCGAGCGCTATCTCGAAGCCTTCAACCGGCTGACGGGTACCGACTTGTCATAGAGGCTTTGTACACGCAAGACCCGTGTGAGATCGAACACGGAGTGAGGCCTTATCCGCCGTCACTATACCTGAGGAGAGTAGAGTGAGCACCAGGCGGCAGCGGAGAAGACAGAGTGGGCGGGGAGGCCCGCAGCAGCCTTCCGGGCGCTCAACACGACTGCTCTATCTGCTTATCGGAGGCGGTGCTCTCGTCGCCGTGGCCGTCGCGGTCGTTGTGTTCGCTGCCATCGGTTCGAACTCCGAGTCCGACTCCGCCGTTCCGGCTATCGTTCAGGAAGAGTCTACCACTTCTCCGGCCCAGGACGAGCCAGTCAGGCCGTCGACCCAGGAACAGTCCACCCCAAAGATTTCTCTCGTCACGGTGGAAGGAGTTCGGCGACTTCCAGTGTCCCACTGCGATGCAGTTCGCCTTGGGAATGGGCAAGCAGCTCAAGGAAGATTTCGTTAGCACGGGTCAAATCCGATTCGTCTTTCGCCACTTCCCCTTCATCGGCGAGGAGTCCTTCAGGGCCGCGAGAGGCAACCGAGTGCGCCTCAGACCAGAACAAATTCTGGAATTCCACGGACACAGGGAGGAGACGAAAGGGGCAGGACGAGAAAAACTTCCCCTCTCCCAATTATCTCCCTCGTTGCTCTCGGAGAGGGTAAGGAAAGAAGCACAACCTTCCATTTACCACTCACAACTATCATTTTTTGCTCGTCCATTACATATGAAAAATATGAAGGTAGGTTAGCGAGTTACTAAAAGCTGGATCGATAGACGACTTTCGAATCTGTATCGAAATGATGACACCCATATCTACATACTACTCATCGGCCTACCCACGCCCCTCCCCTTCCTCGCGACTAACGCGCTTACAAACCGTAATTCACTCCTGGCGGATCCTACTATTCCATCACACTATTTCTATGCTTGCGAGGTATGCCCGCGTTGAGCCTCACTCCTGCCTCGCCCAGCGGAGGCAGCAGCCCGCCCCAGACAGCATTGGCCCATCGATCTCAAGAAGACCTCGTGAACTGCGCCGAACCCCTCCATTCTTTAGGGTGTTTATAATGACCCTTCTCGAGCAACGTTGGCCCACTGCATTACATACCAACAATACTTTCCCACACACACAGGCCATTTTCGTAATGATTAACTAACAAGACGAACGATGTTAGTGTTGTGTGCTGAACCGGCGTAGAGTCGAGCCGGCTTCGTACAGTGAAATTGGAAAAGAGGAAACGACCCGGAACCCCCTTACCTCCCCGGAGGACCCCACCGCCTACCCTCTCGATGTACCGGTGGTGAGGTAGGTGACAAAGACGCAGTAAAGGACAGGACAAATACCAGATAGGATTCTACCCACCTTTCTTCACCCGCATCTTTACACTTCCGGCCGAAAAAGGTAGACCGAGGTCTTCAGGAGCGGACCCGGACGATCGAAAACGAAGCAAGAGAGGGTTTTACAGGAAAATCCGAACACGCACCGAGGGAGGCTACTGTAGGGACGGCGTTACATTGACACCGCATCTCACCCGGAACCCCCCCCCCCATGAGAGGAGACTGAAACTATTTGGGACTAGATTCCGGGAAGGGCATTCGAGTGCGGATGTGAGGGCGGGTGCGGTGACGTTACGACGAGCGAGTACGCCGTCCTCATGGGATTGCCCGTCGCCTTCATCGGCGTTGGGGTCTGACCACCGTTAGCTCAGGCTTTCGCATCTTCCCTCTTGCCCTCCTTTGCTCCTACCTCACACCCCGCACATGAGAGAGCAGGAGAGAGGGGGACAGCCCCGGCTTCACGTGTTGTTTAGCGCCCACCGTTTCCACTCATTGATATCCAAGCGTCAGCTCCCTTTGACCCCATTCTTTCCAAATCTATTTTCTCCTCACACTCGCACGCCTTTCCCGCTTGAGAGAGCGCCCGGTTCTATACCAAATCGCCTTCTCCGATCAATGAGTGAAAAACAAGCTCGTCCCTCCACATTAAAACAGGAGCCTGGAAGCAACCAACAGATACTTACGAGTCCATGAAATAAGTGCGCAGGTTGATGAGAACTGACGATGTGCCCCCGGGTGTCACCATACAAACTGCCACCCAACTTTCACCACCTCCCCCTTCCCTACTAACGATTCGTTCCCTCAACACAACCGCCTCCTGTGTCCCTCTGTACCGGCCCCTCAACCTGTGTTACCTGCCACCGCCCATTATAGAAACGAATCCATGTCCGTCCCACCCCCCGGCACTTATCCCTTTATTTTCATCCCGCACCTCCCCCACAGAAACGACCCGGTCGACGCTCCCGCGTCTGTCAAACTCTCACCTTGTACCTCGTCTACACCGCAGGCCTTCCGTATCCACGCCTACTGCGAATACTGCCTGGCATCCGCCGCGATCATGACATCGGTCCTCGTTTTGACCATCTACGCTACGGTCAGGGCGAGATACGAGCGGCCCATCGAATTGCTAGTACGTCGAGGATCACGAAATACCGGACGACGGTGATGAGGCGCTTATGGCGGCCCGAAGAACTCACGAGAAGACGCAGACAGACCCCTACACAGGCCCGCGCCGCGCGGCGTGAACGCAGAAATCGACGCACGCGGCTAAAGAGAATCCTGGCCCTTGGCGCGGTCAGCGGGGTGTCCGCCCTTTTCCTCATCGCACTATTCATACCTCAGAGCTTCGGTGGGGGCGGTGGAGGGGGCTCGATACCCGACGGCCCCGGAGTCAGGCAGGAAGACCAGGGCCGGGAGCACATACCCGAAGGGGGCTCACACGCGCCCTACAACTCTTCGCCGCCCACGTCAGGATGGCACTACGAGCGTTGGGCGTCCTGGGATCAAGCCGAACCGCGCCTCCATAATGTTCACCAAAACATGGAGCACGGGGGCATCATCCTCCACTACAATTGTCCCGACGGGTGCCCGGACGAGATCGACCAGATGTCGGAGACGTCAGCCGGACGGATGAGCCTCAGGATGCGAACCAGAAATGGAGAAGAGCCGTTTCGCGTTGACCGCTTGGAATTGGCTCATGACGATGGAAGTGTACGACGACTCTCTGGCAAGAGATTTCGTTAAGAGCCATCTAAATTCAGCCAACGCGCCCGAGTGGCAGAACCGAGAGAGTCTAAATGGTCCGCGTCTGTCGGTATTTGCGCTATCGCCCATTGTACGCTAGCCGGATCCCTGATGCTTCGCTGTGATACGGACAGGCACCGGCCGCTAGTACCCCTGATCGACGGTTACAGCACTCGACCCGCATGAGCCCCGCTACCCTATGAAAAAAATACCTCGCAAAGTCTTAGAATCTCGCTCAGCCAAGGTGAATGACGGAGGCTTACTATCCGAGGCGCGCTCGTCACGCTCGGCTATAACAGTTTGAGGAGTCAGAGTGTTGAGAGCGTCCGCGCGGGGAAATACTTTCAGATTGAGGTCGAGTCACCGTCCAAACGCGAAGCATCCGAGAGCGTCGAGGGGATGTGCAAGCAGCTTTTGGCGAACCCCGTCATCGAGCAATACGAGTTTGAATTGACCTGTGCCGGCTAACTGTCTAGATCGCCTAGGGACGAGGTCGGGCAGCAACAAGCCCGGCGATCCCGACTACGGACTAGCATACGAGTGTACGGGTTTGTCCTTGTGCGGTGCGCACCACTTACGCGTCTACGGTTGGGTAAGCCTCGCATCACTAGCCGCATTATCGGCCAGCCCATGCCAAGATTGATACGCAGCCACCTTTGTAGCTGTCGTATACCCTTCATCAACTCCTATACACTTCAGAGGGTGCGTTAATGGTGGACCACCGCTCCAGGGCAAGGCAACATCACTCGTGAACCCCCACCAGATGGGGTCTAGTGGTGTGCAATTCGGTACAAAGGGGAAAGGATTAGTGGCAGGGGTGGCAGGATTCGAACCCGCGGCCTACGGTTTTGGAGACCGTTGCTCTACCAGCCTGAGCTACACCCCTGCGCCTTTAGCGGCCTTTCGATTGTACGACCCCCGTCCACACAGGGTCAATAATGCTATGTGTCAGACTATCGCGTAGTTCATAATATTTTTCGATGCGACGGCAAAGTGGCTTGCCGCGGATTTCTTACGGCGGCACGGTGAAAAAAAAGACGATGGGGGTATAATCGGGCGGAACAACTATCGAAAAACAAAAACCGAGGTTACGTATATGCGAGGCGCTGACGCAGTTGCCAGGACGTTGCGAGCGGCGGGGGTGTGAGCGGATTTTCACGCTCTCCGGGAACCAGATCATGCCGGTGTTCGATGCCTGTCTCGACGCCGACATAGACCTCTTGCACGTCCGCCAGGAGGCCGCGGCGGTACACATGGCCGACGCCTGGGGCAGGCTGACCGGCCAGCCCGGTGCAGCCTGTCACGCGCGGTCCTGGAGCTCGCAACACTACCCTCACGGGACTGCTACGTCGCGATCGATTCGGAGTCGCGCGCTGCCCTGCTGACCGTGGGTGGGACCCCGATGAGCCAGCACGCCAAGGCGCGTTTCAGGCGATGGCGCAGGCCCAGAGATCGCACAGTCACGTCTCGAAGGCCTCATGGACCGCGGAGACGCGCCTCCGGCCTGCCCAACGACATCCGCAGCGTTGGACATCGCCACGTCCGGGCGCCCGGGCCCTGTCACAATCGCCCTACCCTTCAATACCGTCGACGGCGAGGTCGACTCTCACCTGAGGACGCGCTCGTCAGATGCGCGTGCGAGTCATCGTCGGAACGTGTCATCGACGACGGCGATGCCTCTCGCGCATGCTGTCCGAACTGCGAGGAGCCAAGACGCCGCTCATTTTGGCGGGGTCGATGATGATGCGGTGGCGAGCGCATGCATCGCTGGCGATCCTCAGCGGCCGACGGCGCGCCGTCGTGGAGATGGAGAGTCCGCGCGGGACGAACGATCCTGCCCTGGGCGCGTTCGCCGAGGTGCTCGCCGAGGCCGATCTGATCAGCGTTCCGCTCATACCGGCAGAAGCTGGACTTTACCACCCTGAAGATGGGACGGAGCGCGCCGACTGATCCGGACTCGACTTCCGTGTTAATCCAGATCGACGATCGACCCGACCCCTCGGCAATCGATCTGACCCGCAGGAACGTCGGCGACCCGAGAGAGATGGCGATGAGCATCGGTCGCCCCGATCCCTCTCCGACTCGACGACTCGTGGAGCTGCTGACCGCGACTGCTGCGGAAAGCGGCTTGGCGACGAGGTGAGCGAATTCCCCGCCGTCAGACTACCGCCGCACCTCTGACGTCTGAACTGCGAGCGGACAGCGAGCCTCTGCACTCGTACGAGGTCGCTGCGGCGATTCAGACGTACCTCGATGAAGACCCAAGCTCCGTGTTCATCTGTGACGGCGGCGAGTGGGGCCAGTGGGCGCAGGCCTGCATCGGCGCCGACGAGGATCCTCAACGGCCCCGCCGGCTCCATCGGCACGTCGATCCCGTTCGCCTTGGCGGCGCGATTGGCACGGCCCCGACGCACGGATCGTGACGGTCCTCGGCGACGGGACCGCCGGGTTCCACATCATGGAGTACGACACCGCCGTGCGTACGACACGCCATTCGTCGCGGTGCTCGGCAACGACGCGGCTTGGAATGCGGAATACCAGATTCAATTACGGGAGTACGGCGACGAGCGTCTCGTGGGTTGCGAGCTTCTACCCTCTCGGTACGACCGTGTCGTCGAGGCGATCGGCGGTCACGGCGAGAACGTCGAGTCGGCGAACGACCTGGCCCCTGCCCTGGAGCGAGCGGGAGCGTCGGCCCTCCCTGCCCTCGTCAACGTGAATCTCGCCCGAGACGCGGCACCCGTGGTGCGACGAGGGACCGACGCACCCCAGGCCAGCTCCGCGATGCTGCACTGAAGGCAGATCGTACCCACAAACTGCGGGCTAGTCACTGAACTTGTCCGGCCACCAGTCGGGCCAGACCGACTCCCCTTGGTATGGAGAGCGCGGATCCCAGAAGCTGCGGGTCTGGATCGTTAGCTCGCGGATATTCGGGCGGTCGAGCGCGGCGGGTAGCGGGGATATCCTCCCCGGCACGCCTATGACGAAGCTTCTCGGCGGGATGTCCTTGGTCACGACCGCGCCTCCCGCAATGAAGCTGCCCTCGCCGATGGTGATGTCCGGCATCACCGTCACGCCGCCTCCGATCATCACGTCGTCCTCGATGGTCGCCCCGCGAGGAGTCGGCATCGGCTCGATGCGGCCGGGAAACCGGTCGTTGGTAAATGTGACGCCGGGGCCGATGAACACGTGGTCGCCCACCCACGTGCGGGAAGGTATGTACACGTGGGACATCACACGCACCCCGGTACCAAAGCGAACGATGCCCTCAATCGTCGACTGGTTCATGAGCGTGCAGTAGTCGCCCATCTTGACGAGGGCCCGGACGACGCAGTTGTATCCGGCCTGGAAGTGGTCTCCTATGCGCGTGTCTCCGTAGATGACCGTCCCTCGCCGAATGACACAGTCCCTACCCAGTATCGCGGGGCCGCAGTCCTCGTGGTAGCGAAGTCCTATCTCCACGTTCGGCTCGATGATCGTCCCATCACCGATTTGCGCGTTGTCGAATCGCTGGCGTCGAGAGTCTCCATGCGGCCCTCCATAAGCCCGTCTGCATGATGCCGGAAGGATACCATGCCGATCTGCCTTGTTGACTGCCCTCTAGCCCGTTGCTACGCTTGGGCCATGAGCACTTGGGTTCGCGCGGTGTCTTCATTATTTCTCGTCCTAATCGTTCTGGCGGCGTGTGGACAGGAGGAACATTTCATAAGACCCATCTCGTTGGACGTCCCGAAAGTCACGTTTGACGCCGATGGCTTCAGTCCCCTGCGGCTCGAAATCGAGGTCGGGCAGCGGGTGCTGTTCGCAAACGAGTCGGAGACTGTGTTCTGGCCCGCATCGAATATTCACCCGACACACCAGATCTACGCCGAGTTCGACGCGAAGGCTCCCATCGAGTCCGGAGGTTTCTGGGCCTTCACATTCGAGCGTCCCGGATTCTGGCGGTATCACAACCACCTCGGTCCAGAGCGCAGCGGGCTGGTCGTCGTCAGCGGCGACCCTGTCGAACCACCCGTGCCCCTGGTGCTGACGGCGGAGGGCCTTGACTTCGACGAGCCGTACGATCTGTCTCTCGCGCAGTACATGGAACTGTACGAAAGCGACAACGCCATGACGAGGTTCCTGCACGAATACGGTCCCTCGGAGACCGTAAAAGCCCTGCTTGAAGGGTCGAAGCGCACGAACTCCGACTGCCACCAGCGCGCTCACGATGCCGGCCGCATGGCATACGAGCTGTTCGGCGCGGCGGCATTCTATCTGTCGAGTCATGAGTGTCAGGCCGGGACCTATCACGGAGCTACTGAGGCGCTTTTCAGAGATCGCGGTACCATCAACCTTCGCGAGGACGTGTCCGTCCTGTGCAGCTATGCGAGCGTCTCCTTCTACTACCTGCAGTGCCTTCATGGAGTCGGACACGGTCTTATGGCATGGACGAGCTACGAGCTCCACGACGCCCTCTCGCTGTGCGAGGAACTTGACTCCACTACCGACCGCAGGGCCTGCTACTCCGCGTCTTTATGGAGAACGTCATAGGCGGTCTAACGGGACTCATGGGCCACGTGACTGAGTACCTTTCCGACGACCCGCACTACCCCTGCAACTCGCTCGACGAGCAGTATGTGCAGATGTGCTACTTCTACCAGAGCACCCGCATGATGATCCTCTACGAGAACAACCTCGGCAAGGTCGCTGAGACCTGTGCAGTGGCCCCGAAGAGGCCCACCACTACTGCTTCCGCAGTCTTGGCAGGGACGTGGGCGGCTTCACGGTCGGAGCTCCCGGACGCGCCATCGAGCTGTGCGGCCTCGCGGAGGATCCGACCAACCGCGCTTACTGCATCGAGGGAGCCGTACAGAACAGGTTCTGGGAGGTCTCAGGGGCCGACGAAGCGCTGTCGATGTGCGCAATGTCGCCGACCAGCGCGACCGGTTCGCCTGCAATCAGACCATCGTCTTCCGCGCTCAGAGCTCTATGAGACTGCAGAGGCATTCTCCGCTTTCTGTGATCGTGTGGACGAGAGCTTCAGGGCGTGGTGCCACAGCAAAGAGATTGCGCAGGTCGGCAGCGAGTCTCCATAGAGGCGGGACGCACATCCAACCGGTCGATGTGACTTCCCACCTGCTCATCGCACTCGTGGTTGTCTCTTGGATATCTGTTGACAGCCTCACCGTCCGTTCATAGACTTACGACCAACGTCGGGGACTTGAACGGTTCGAGTTTCCCGCGACGGACAATCTCAGAGAGGCTCTGGATGACGGAAGAACCGTCCTTCGGCATGAAGATCGCCAGACACGTTCGCGCGACGCTTATCGCGGGCGTCCTGATTCTCGTTCCCATCGCTATCACCTACGTGCTGCTGCTGTGGGTATTCAACAGCATCGATGGCCTGCTCGCGCCTGTTGTCGACAGATCCATTGGTCGGCATATTCCCGGGCTGGCCTGCTCGTACTGCTCATCATCGTCTATCTTCTCGGCCTGATCTGGACCAAGAGGCTTGGCCGCCGCACCATCCGGACTCTGCAGCTCTTTCTCCTAAAGGTCCCCCTGATCGGAGCGATATACGGCCCCGCAAGGAAGCTCATCGAGTCGTTCACGCGGCTGAAAGCACGGCCGGCTTCAAGCGCGTGGTGGTCGTCGAGTACCCGAAGCAGGGCACCTGGATGATCGGATTCCTCACGGGGATATCGAAATGTCGTGCCCGGCACCACGATGGGTGTGATCTATCTTCCAACCGCGCCAACTCCCAACTCCGGATGGGTGGCGATGGTGCCGATCCAGAACATCTACGACACGACGATGACCGTTCGAGAAGCTATGTCGATGGTGCTCTCCGGCGGGATATCCTCGCCGGTGCAGATTGATCTCAAACCGATGGACCCCTTGGAGGTGGCCGAGTTTGCAACCATTGGTCCGCCGGGGTCGCTGCCCACGGTCCGCCCCGAGTCCGGAGTGTTCAAGCTGCCTTTCATGGGCGACCGCGACGACGAAAACAAAACGAGGTGAAGTGATATGGGAGTTGACGCCAACAAAGTTCGGCTAACGGGAGAGAATTCGTTCCTGCGACTGGGCGAGTCCGCCGAAGCGCCGCCTACGACGAGTAACAGCCATTGGCGAATCGTTCACTCGCCCAGGGGTCCGGGCCATGTGCTCTTCACGAAGGGGGAGTTGACCGGAGACGAAGCCCGCATCTACTCCGACAACATCGACATGGCGCGGTGGCTCCAGGAGGGCGTGCAGGCGTCCATGGGCGACCAGTACGCCGGTGATATCCCAATCGTCGAGGCGGACTTCTGGAAGTCCGGCGACACCCTATCCTTTTGGACTGAGTACATTGAGTCGCGCGACGACTACATCACTCTGACGTGGTACGACATCGGTGAGCCGGTGATGGTGGCAAACCCGCCCGGCGAAAGGAGGCCAGCCGCACGGCGTGTACAGCCTCCTCATCCCCTGCGCGAGGGCTCAGATGACCGTGAACGGCAGTCGTTGCGTCCGGGAAGGCGCACCCCGGCCGTCTGGACGACTCGACCGTCATCAGCACGTGCTGCATCGCCCTATCGGAGACGTGGACCATCCCGCGAGACCACGAGTGGGCTTTAGACTGAGAGGGGCTTTCTTCTAACTCGCCCGCTCACTCTAGGCCCTATCAGGTCGCCGCCTCTGCGCCTCCAACCACCTGCGCTTCTGCTCCCGGCGTGTCCTCTCATCCGGCGGGACGAAACGGGCATGGAACGCCGCTCGATACTCCTCGAACGCGCGATGCGGATAGCAGCCCTGATCTCCTCCATGAGACGCAGCACGACCGGACGTTGTGGACCGTCGCCAGACGGTACGCGAGAAGCTCGTTGGCTTTGAAGAGATGGTGGACGTACCCTGCCGAGAACGTCTCGCACGTGTAGCAGTCGCAGTCCGCCTCGATTGGCGTCTGTTGGCTACGAAAGCGCGCCGTATCGACGTTGACACGTCCATCTCGAACGAAGAGCGCGCCGTTGCGCGCGATTCGGGTCGGCAAGACGCAGTCGAACATATCGATTCCGCGAGCCACGCATTCGACAAGGTCCTCCGGCGAACCGACGCCCATGAGGTATCGGGGCCGTTCGGCAGGCAAGAGTGTGGTCGTATGCCCAACCGTGTCGTACATGTCGTTTTTGGATTCCCCTACGCTGAGACCGCCAAGTGCGTAGCCGGGGAAGTCTAGCGCAGTGATCAGCTCCACCGATACTTCACGCAGATCAGGAAAGGTCCCGCCCTGAACGATACCGAAGAGCATCTGGTCGTCACGAGTTTGCGCCTCTCGGCATCGCTCTGCCCATCGTGTCGTCAGTTCGACGGCTTCGGCCACACCGGTACGGTCGCTTCCACCGGGCGCGCAAACGTCGATCGGCATAATCACGTCCGCCCTGATGCCCTCCTGATGGCGTATGACCGATTCGGGACTGAACATGTGCTTGCTGCCGTCGATGTGCGACCTGAACTCTATCCATCCTCGCTGATGTTCCGCAAGTGTTCGAGGCTGAAGCCCTGAAAGCCTCCGCTATCCGTCAGCGTCGGACCGTTCCAGGCCATGAACGCCGCGAGGCCGCCCGAATTCCGAACAGACTCCACGCCGGGCCGGAGATACAGGTGGTAGGTGTTCCCGAGCAGAATCGTCGCTCCCATCCGGCGAAGGTCGTTCGGATCAACCGCCTTGACCGAGCCTAGTGTCGCTACGGGCATGAAGGCCGGGGTCGGCACGTCACCGTGCGCCGTGTGGAGCGTCCCAATACGGGCACTGCCCTCGGTCTTGTGAAGTGTGAAACGTGTCATGACTTTCGATTGTGGGCCAGTTTGTTTTTGACTGCCTGTCCTTCGCGCTTCACGTCATTATATTCCAGACCGGGCCTCGGCAATCGAGTCTTGTGTTCCGTTCATGTCCTTCCGGCAAGACCGCCACAATTTGACAATAACAAGAACAATGCCTCAAAATGCCACAGAATGTCACAGTTTTCGAGAATTCACGCTGCAATCGTAACGATGTCAGACCCCACACCAATCGCCCTCATGAGCAGCGATATGCGCCCAGCACGATGAGGCCGGCTTGCCCTGTAGGCCGACAACAATCGTTTTTGGACTGAACCCGATTGAGTATAATGTTGCTTTCACCTCCGCCAACAGAAAGCGACCGACAATGAACTCGAACGAGATACGGGAACGATTCCTCAGCTACTTTGAATCACAGGGGCACTCACGAGTTGCCAGCTCCTCACTCATCCCGGTGGGCGACCCTACCCTGCTGCTCACCAACGCGGGCATGGTGCAGTTCAAGCCGTATTTCTCGGGCGAGGCAACCCCTCCGAATCGCCGGCTGACTTCGTCGCAGAAGTCCTTCCGCACCGTCGACATCGACGAGGTGGGCGACGCGACTCACCTGACGATGTTCGAGATGCTGGGAAACTTCAGCTTCGGCGACTACTTTAAGGACGGCGCCATGGAGTTCGCGGTCGACTGCCTCGAATCCGCCATGGGTCTGCCGAGGGAGAATTTCTCCGCCACGGTCCACGAGGGCGACGACGAGGCGTACGACCTCTGGCAGAAGCACGGCATCCCGACGGAACGCATCTATCGATTCGGCGATGCGGACAACTGGTGGGGGCCTCCCATTCATGGAGATGAGGGCCCGTGCGGGCCGTGCGCCGAGCTCCACTACGATTTCGGAGACGCCCGTCCCGGCTGCGGCCTCGACGACTGCGGCCCCAACTGCGAGAACGTGAACCCGGATACGGGGCTGGTCTGCCAACGATACGTGGAGCTGTGGAACCTCGTGTTCATGCAGTTCTACCGAAACCCGGATGGCAGCCTCCCTCCCCTGCCGCAGACCGGCATCGACACGGGAATGGGCTTCGAACGGCTGGTGGTCGTCCTTCAGGACGCCGAGGACATCTACGGGACAGACCTGTTCCTGCCACTCATTCGCAAGGTCGAGGCGATCGCCGGTCACGACTCCGAAGAGAGCGCCGAAGTGAGGCAGGCGATGCGCGTCGTCGCCGAGCACGGGCGAAGCTCGGCGTTCCTCATTGCCGACGGCGTTGTTCCCTCCAATGATGGGCGGGGCTACGTTTTGAGGCGGCTCGTGAGACGTGCCATCCGTCACGCCCGCAGGCTCGGCATGGACGAGCCGTTCCTCGGAGATATCGCCGATGCCGTAACCGACATCATGGGAGACGCCTACCCGGAGCTCCGCAACAATCGCGATTTCGTACAGACGGTCATCAAGCTGGAGAAGAACGATTCTGTCGGTCTTTCCAGAACGGCTACGCGATGCTGAAGCGACGCCTCGCAGGCGCGGACTCCCTGGCGGGTGAGACTGCCTTCCGCCTCTGGGATACTACGGATTCCCCGTCGAGATGACCCAGGAGATCGCCGCGGAGAGCGGTGTGGGGTGGACATGGAGGGCTTCGAGCGGCACATGGCCGAGCAGCGCGAGCGTGCCCGCGCCGGCGCGACGTTCGGCGCCGACCGCACGAAGATCCCGGCAGTACGAGAGCCTCGTGTCGGCGGCGTGAAGTTCCTCGGCTACGAGTCGCTGGTATCGCACACGGTCGCCGTCGGCATGCTATCCGGCGGTGAGGTTGTGGGCGAGGTAACCGAGGGTGACGAGGTCGAGATCGCGCTCGTGGAGACCCCGTTCTATCCCGAGGGCGGCGGTCAGGTCGGCGACGCGGGCGAGATCGTCGGGCCGGAGGGCAAGATTATCGTTCACGACACGCAGCGAGTCATGCCCGATCTCATCATGCACTTCGGCAAGGTCGTACAGGGCAAGATAGCGTTGGGACAGCCCATCGACGCCTACGTCGATCCCGTGCGCGAGAGGATACCGCGCGGAACCATACCGCCACGCATCTGCTTCCACGCGCCCTGCGCGAGGTGCTCGGCGCGCACGTGCGTCAGGCCGGGTCGCTCGTGGCCCCCGACAGGCTTCGCTTCGACTTCTCCCACGTCGAGCCCGTGACGCCCGAAGAGATGCGACAGATACAGTTCCTCGTCAACGAGAAGATTCGACACAACGCAACAGTGATGAAGTCGGAGGACAGGTACTCCAACGCCATTGAGCGTGGCGCTCTCGCGTTCTTTGGCGACAAGTACGAGGACACCGTGCGCCTCATTGAGATCGCGAACGGCGCGACCTTCAGCTTCGAGGTCTGCGGCGTACGCACGTAGCCCGGACGGGCGAGCTTGGCTCCGTCTTCGTGCTCGGCGAATCGAGCATCGGTGCGGGAATGCGCCGCATCGAGGCCACGAGCGGACGCGGAGCCGAGCGCACCGCCAACGAGCGGATATATGCCGCCAACGCGGTGGCCTCCAAACTCCAGACTCCCGTTGCCGACATAGAGGGCCGCATAGACGGCCTGCTCGACGAACTGTCGCAACTTCGCGCGAGAAGGAGACCCTTGAACGCAAGCTCTCTCTCATTCGTCCGCAAGCGATCTTCTCGAACGGCGGCAGGACGTTGGAGGCGTTTCCGTGCTGGCGGCGAAGGTTGATGCCGCGAACGTGGACTCCATGCGGGAAATGGGCGACTGGCTCCGGGACAAGATGGGCAGCGGTGTCGTCGTGCTCGGCGCGGTCATAAACGAGCGTCCTTCGCTCATCTCGATGGTCACGCCCGATCTGCGGTCGCCGGGCTGGACGCCGCCGGCATCGTTCGAGGTGCGGCCAAGGTGATCGGCGGCGGCGGCGGCGGAAGACCGGATGCCGCACAGGCGGGAGCGGGACGCCTCAAAACTCGATGACGCACTCAACCTCGTGCCAAGCCTCGTCGAAGAGCAGCTGGACCAAGCGTGAGGATTCTCGCCCTCGACGTAGGAGACAAACGCATCGGCGTCGCCGTCAGCGACCTGCTGGGCATTCTCGCGTCACCGCTCATCGCAATCGAACGCACGTCGGACAGTAAGGCCATCGACGCAATACTGGAAATCGCCGACGAACAGGAAGCGGGCGAAATCGTCGTCGGTCTCCCCATCTCGCTGAGCGGCGGGTACAGCGATCAGACAAAGTCTGTGGCCGCGTTCGTACGGAAGCTGAGGCCCGTTCTCCGGTTCCTGTGAACACGGCTGACGAGCGATATTCCACCGTCGAGGCCGAGCGGCTCTTGAGTCAGTCCAAGCCCCAAAGGGCGCGAAGTCGAGGCGAAATCGACGCGCGGCAGCGGCGGTCATCCTGCAGTCCTACCTCGACTCGCGAGCGTCCGGCTAGCCTTTCGCAACACGCGGGAGTTCCGCCCTATTCTCGCTCCCCTGCCCGATTTCGTCAGATTCCCGGTCCGTCAAGGACGTCCTGAGCGTCTGATATACTAGGGCCACATTCGCCCGGGACCCCTGATGACCAAGCAGCTCGGCGTCATTGGATATCCGCTCTCTCACACCCTGTCGCCCGTCTTCCAGCAGGCGGCGCTCGACTACCACGCGATCCCGGTGACGTACTCGGCTGGCCGACACCGCCGGAACGCCTTACCCACACCGTCGAACGACTGCGCGGCGCGGAGTACATGGGGTTCAACATCACGATTCCCCATAAAGAGCATCTGGTGGAATTGGTAGACGATGTGGAGCGCAATGGCGCGAAACATCGGAGCGGTAAACACGGTCGTCAATCGTGACGGGGCACTTGCCGGCTACAATACCGACGCCTACGGATTCGTCAAGAGCCTGAAGGAGAAGGCCGATTTCGAGCCGCGTGGCAAGACCGTTCTATGCTGGGGGCAGGCGGGGCCGCGAAGGCGCTGCGTACGCCCTGGCAGGCGAAGGCGTGGAGCGTCTGACCATCGCCAACAGGACGGTCGCGCGGGCGGAGTCGTTGGCCGAGGACGTAGGAGGACTCCTCAACGGTCGACGCCGTTCCTTTGGAGTTGTGTCGGGTGACGCCGACTTGATCGTTAACTCGACGTCCGTTGGCATGGCGTCGGGCGATAGCGCTGGGCGGACGCCGCTGGAGGCCGCTTCTATACCCCGCGACGCGCTCGCATACGACATGGTGTACACTCCGGCAGAGACGCCGTTCCTCCGTTGCGCTCAGGACGCAGGAGCGCGCGTATTGGTGGACTGTGGATGCTGATCTACCAGGGCGCGGCGGCCTTCGAACTGTGGACCGGAAAGAAAGCCCCCGTAGACGTGATGTACCGAGCCGCTCAGCAGGCGCTTGATAGTGGACGAGACCTCATGGGACCGAACATCTATCTGACCGGGTTCTCCGGCAGCGGCAAATCGACCGTCGGTAAACAGGTCGCCGCCATGACCGGCTGGACCTATCGCGACACCGACGACGAGATCGTCGCAGCCACCGGTCGCGCCATCGAGGATATCTTCTGCGAAGACGGCGAGGCGGCGTTCAGGAAGCTCGAAAGAAGTGTCTTGGAATCGGTCTCCCAGGGTGAACGGCAGGTGGTCTCGACCGGCGGGGTATTGTCCTCGACGAGGGAACCCGGCGCACCATGGACGCGACGGGCATCATAGTCTGTCTCGAAGCCCGCGCCGACACGATTTACCGCCGGTTGTCCGTCCAGACGAGACCCATGACGAGCAGGTAGTCCGGCCACTCTTGCAGGACTCCGACCCGTTGCGTCGCATCATCAGCCTCAAGGCCGAGCGACAGCCGCTGTACGCCCTCGCCCACTGGACTATCCATACCGATGAGTTGTCCGTGACCGAGGTGGCTTCCGAGGTCGTGAGAGCACGCGATATCTGCTCGAACCGGGCGAGTTCGACGGAGTCCTATGACGCCGACCTTGCGGCAACGGTGCGCACGTCCTCCGGGGACTACCCCGTATGGGTGGCTGGGGACTCTCCCACTCGGTCGGTGAGCGCATCAAGTCCCTGATAGATCCCTCCGCCGCCTACGTCATCACCGACAATCTCGTACATCGACACGCGCGAAGGTCAAATGTCGATGGAGGCGGCCGGAGTTCCCAGCCACATCTTCGTCATGGAGGCGGGCGAACGACACAAGAGCCTCGACACCCTTTCGCACATCTACAGGTGGCTTGCCGAGCGGAAGGCCGAGCGGGCCACCTCATCGTCGCGGTCGGCGGCGGAGTCGTGGCGACGTGGCCGGGTACGCGGCGGCGACCTATCTGCGCGGTATGCCGGTCGTGCAGGCCCCGACCACGCTCGTGGCGATGATGGACGCTGCCGCGGCGGCAAGACCGCCGTCGACCTGCCGCAGGGCAAGAACCTCGTCGGGGCGTTCAAGCAGCCGGAGTTCGTTCTCGCGGACGTGGAGGCGCTTTCCACCCTACCCGAGCGCGCCCTCGTTTCAGGTTGGGCGGAGGCTATCAAGCACGCGCTGATCCTGGACGAACCGCTGCTCAGAGTCTTTGAAGAGAACGTCGACGCAATAGCAGCGTTGGAACCGGAGACGGCGAGCGACGCGCTCCGCCGGAGCGTCGCCATCAAAGCCGACGTGGTATCGCGCGATGAGCGGGAGACGCTTGGCATTCGCGCGTGCTGAACTACGGTCATACGACCGCCCACGCGCTCGAAGCCGTTACGGGCTATGACCGCTACCTTCACGGCGAGGCGGTGAGCATTGGCATGATGGCGGCGGCGAAAATCTCTAACAGGATGGGCATGTTGAGCGACGACGACGTTCTCCGCCAACGCCTAGTGCTGGAGGCCTTCGGGCTGCCACTAAAGTACCGAGACGCCGGTCCTGCGGCCATCAGAGACGCGATGAGCATGGACAAGAAGACGGTCGGCGGGAGAGTCCGGTGGGTGCTCTTGGACGGCATCGGCAATGCGGTGACAAGAAGCGACGTTCCCCCTGAGTTCATCGACAAAGCGCTGCGAGAGGTGTCCGAGCAATGAGATCGCGGTTTAGTCTCCCCAGATGGTTGAAGAATGGCTGGCGCTGGTGATCCTTGGCTGTGCGACGGCCACCTTCGGTGTCATGGTCGGCACCGGCGGCGGCGTTATCTTCGTTCCCATGCTGCTGATTCTCTTCGATTTCGATCCCGAGATCGCGGCAGGCACCTCGCTGACCCTCGTTGCCTTTGAACAGCTTTGCGGGCACGTACACCTACACGCGCCTGGGGTTCGTCGATGTGAGGAGCGGCATTCTCTTTGCCGTCGTCGCAATCCCGGGCTCCATAATTGCCCCGTTCGCCGTCGCCAAGATCAGCGGCGACCTGTTTCGGATCCTCTTCGGATTACTCCTTGTCGTACTTGCCGCGCAGCTGCTCCTCCGGTCATATATGCCTAAACGAGTGAAGAAGCCCAAGAGGATGCGCTCCTTCAGGTCGTTCATCAAGGAGCGCCGCATCGACACCAAGCGCGGTCAGCGGTTCCGCTATCACTTCAACGAACCCCTGGCGACCTCGACCAACTTCGCCATCGGTTTCGTATCCGCCTTCTTCGGTACGGGCGGCGGCTTTCTGAGAACGCCTCTGCTCGTGGGCGTGTTCAACTTCCCGGTGCGAGTGGCTGTGGCGACCTCGGTGTTCGCCCTCTCGTTCTACTCGACCGTAGGATCGGTCGTTCACGCCTCGCTCTTGCACGTTCAATGGTTCCCGACGGTCTGTTCGCGGGATTGGCATACTCATCGGCGGACAGATCGGGGCGCGGCTGGCTGTGAGGATCCAGGGCGCTTGGATCGTCAGGCTGCTCGTCCTGCTTCTCTTCGTCATGGGCAGTCAGGTACTCTACGAGGGCATACGGGGCTAAAGATTACATTCGACTTCCGCGAGGCACAAACATGAACATCAGCAAAGAGGCTAGAGACATCCACTACTCGGCGCTCGTCGTCGACACGCACTCCGACAGCCTAGCGTGGCCCACACGGCACGGCGTCGATATCGGGCAGCGCCAGGAAGAGACGCACATGGACCTGCCCCGTATGAAGGAGGGGAACCAGAACGTCCAGTTCTTCGCGTGCTTCGCCTCGCGGGCTGGATCGAAAAGAAAAAGGTCGTGCAGGTGACTCTCGACTACATGGACTCATTCCACACGCTCATGCAGAACTACCCCGAGACAGATCGAGCAGGCCACGACGGCGGACGACGTGCGGCGCATCACCGACGCAGGAAAGCTAGCAGGCATCCTGTGCATCGAGGGCGGACACTCCATCGACGACGACCTGTCCATCCTGCGAATGTACCATCGCCTCGGCGCACGATACATGACGCTCACCTGGAACAACACCAACAACTGGGCCGACGGCGTGCTTGACGAGCCTCGTCACGAAGGACTGAACCACTTCGGCAAGGAGGTGGTGCGGGAGATGAACCGGCTCGGAATGCTGGTCGACATCTCACACGTAGCTCCCGCCACTCTGGGACCGCCATGCGACCAGCGCCACACGAAGACACGTCATCGCCTCCCACTCGTCAGCCAAGGCCAGTGCGCGCGCTCCCCGGCACGTGGAGAGACGACCACCAGATCCGGGCCGTGCCGACAGAGGGAGCCGCGTCATCAGGCAGTCAATACGAGAGATAACGTTCGCACGGCGAGGACGATACCGCACTAGCGCAAAAGGACGCCCGTCGACGCGAGAAGGCGACGAAGTACAAGAGGCGAACCAAGGACATCCGGCGAGTCGACGCCTCAAGAGACGCGCCCTGCGAGCAACGACGAGCGCCACGACGGAAAAACGTCGACGGCGAACATGTCGAACCCACTACACCGAGATAGTCGACCACATCGACCACATGGTCTCCGTCGCGGCGTCGACCACGTCGGGCTTGAGTAGGACTCGACGCGCGCGACACATGCGGAGGGATGAGGACTGCACGAAAGTGCCCCTTATTACCGACGCGAAAACTGGTCAGGCGACGGATACGGCGAGACGATGATCGTCCGCCACGATGTCTCGGCGAGAACTTCATGAGGGTCATGGGAGAGGCGCTCCCCGTTTAGGACGCGGCCCAGCAGAGCCGCAACGAGCTACGAGTCCGTCGGAGCTACATTTGGAAAGCGCGGCACACTGTAACGATTCCGGTCAGGAGGCAGTCCTTTGACGTCCATACCCGACCCAGTCGCGTGAGCGGGTTGCTTTGGTTCGGACGCTCTTTGACGACGGTGTCCTTGTCGGTCGCGCCGCTCCAGGGTGAGGGGAGCCGGTTCGTACCGAAGATGCGCGTCATTATCGGGTCGTCGTCCCCCTCGCCGTCGGAGTGGACCGTATACCAACGAGCCCTCTGCTCGTCCCAACTCAACCTTGATGTTTCGTACTTCGCCCGTCCCACGACAGCTACAGTATCACCATGTAGAGAACCCTCAGTCGACTTGCATTTCTGTCTATGAATAATCGACTGCACTATGGATACTCCAAGCCGTTCCTTTTGAAAACCGGACATGCCCAGCGCCTCCAAGCCTCCTCGCGCCTTATCCAGCGTCTCTTGGTACTCGGATTCGGGGTCGGAGTCGGCAACGATTCCGCCGCCGACCTGCAGGTAGACCTGCCGACCCTTCTAGTCAACATCGTGCGAATGGGGATGGACAAGCTGCCATCGAGAGCCGTCGAAGCGATGATATCCGATCGCGCCGCACCCGCCAGTAGCACGGCGCCGCTGTACGGCTCAGATCTCGTCGATGATCTCCATTGCCCTGATCTTCGGCGCTCCGGTCACCGACCCGCCCGGAAAGCACGCCGTCAGCAGGTCGACTGCATCGTGTTCGGGCCGGAGCCTCCCCGTTACCGAGGAGACGAGCTGATGCACGTCGGGTATCCCTCGACGGTGAAAAGCTCCGGCACCCGGATCGATCCCGGTATGCACAGACTCTTCCGAGGTCGTTGCGGAGCAGATCGACGATCATGATGTTCTCTGGCGACGGTCATTTTCACTGAGTGCCAGTTCCCTGCATAGCCGGCTCGTCGCTCCGGCGTCGGTCCGCGCGGAAGCGTATAGCCACTTCACGGTCGAGTCCCCATACGAACCGCATCTCGCAGCCGAATGTAACTGTTCGGAGAGGAGGACGCGCTCAAGAAGACGAACGATCGGAAATCCGAGGTAGGCCCCGAAGGCGCGGGAGCGGTGCGTCGCAGGGCTTGATAGAGTGCCCAAGTGTCCGCATCGACGGTGGCCTCGAATCGCTGGGAGATGTTTGCCTGGTAGATGTCGCCGGCGACGATATATCTCTTCACGCGGTTCACCGCCTCGAGATACTGTCCGCGCGTGAAGTTCGACCGAAGATTCTTCGCAAGAGTGGGCAACCCGTTCGTGCGATCTGAGGCAACACGCCCGTGCCGAATGCGGTCTCTAACCCACTCAGCCCGATCTCCCCTACTAAACTCGGTCGTCATGAGCCATGCCCGGTCATCCGCATGGTCGAATGCGACAACCCAGTCGTAAATGCGCTATGCTCATGTCCGGCAGAGCGAGGTCATCGACCGCTCTTCCGGGCAGTCGTTCGAGGAGGCCGCCCATCTCGTATCCGAAGTAGCCTATCGCGCCTCCCTGAAACGGTGGCCCACCCTTGCAGCGACTCGTTCTGAAGTCCGCCAGTATGCGCTTGAGTACCGAGAACGGATCGTCTTCCAATCGAGTTACACTGCCGCGTTCCACCACGTCTACTTGCCTACCCTTGGAACGCACCACCATAAGCGGATCGGCAGTGACGTAGGAGTACCGTCCAAGCCCGGGTCTCACGAGGGCGCTGTCTAATACCACCGGGTAATCGGCGTCCAGGAAGCCCGAAGTCACCCCAATCGGGTCGAGGTGAGGCTCTAACTCATCGATCCGGGTTCTTGTTGCTACGGCCTGGCGAGTCTGCAAGAGCGGTCCGGGCGACGCCAGATTGAGGCGAGACCGACATGCCACGTGGGCGAGTCCGCTGATAGCGCCGACTGTAATACTGTATAGTATTTGTCGCGACCGACACCACTGAACAGCATTTGCACGTCAACCATCATGGCCTTTCGACGGCTTCAAGACCGTCCTCGTATCCTCGAAATCGCATATGTGGCGACACTTGCCGCCCTGCGCCTCTTCCGCAACCGGCTGAACCCCGGCGGCCTAGTCGAGAAGGTGTTCGTGCCGGGAGAGAGAGTAACGAAGGGGCTCATCTTCGACTGCAAGATGTGCGCGACTGCGTCCTGCACAACACGGGCATGACGTGTCCAATGACCTGCCCGAAGAACCTCCGCAACGGCCCGTGCGGAGGCGTTCGCCTCAATGGGAACTGTGAGATCATCCCCGAAATGCGCTGCGTATGGGTATCGGCCTGGGAACGATCTCAGAAGATGCCGCAGTTTGGCAGCGGGATTCATGAGGTCCTCACCCCAACGGACCGGCGGCTCGAGGGCACCTCGTCGTGGATCAACGACATCAGCCCAAACGTCACCAAGCGACCGGTTGGGTGGGCTGAATGAGGTCGGGCTCCCGACTCGAACGAGTCCTGCGGGCCGGACACTTCGCGGTAACGGCTGAGCTCCTCTCCCCGGACAGCGCCGACCCGCAAGCCGTCCTCGACCACGCAAAGGTCATCGGCGACTCGTGCGACGCCATCAACGCAACCGACGCATCGGGCGCGACCGCACACATGTCGAACGTTGCCGTCGCCGCTCTGCTCCGGCGGGCCGGATACGATGCTATCGTGCAGATGGCTTGCCGAGACAGGAACAGGATCGCGATGCAGGGCGACTTGCTGGGGCATCGCCGCGCTCGATGTGCGAAACGTCCTATGCCTGACCGGCGACGGCGTTGGCACGGGCGATCACCCCGAAGCAAAGCCCGTGTTCGATATGGACTCCATTACGCTGCTCCAAACGGCGCGAATCCTTCGCGACAGGGGACGGTTCCTCAGCGGCCGCACCATCACTTCGCCACCTCGCCTGTTTCTGGGAGGCGCAAGCAACCCGTTCGTCCCGC